TGATGATTTAATCAGAAGTGTCCTATCTATCTTTTACAAATATTACAAATTAAATCAGAGCTTTACGAAATACTATATTAAATAAATTAGCAACACAATCAAAATCTAATAGGTTGACCAAAGTTCAGAGCAAAATAGGCCGGAATTAATAAGTTTTTCATAAAACTATAGTCTATTACTAAGTAAAATCGTCTAAATGCTAATGCTATAATATAGTTGGTACTATTATTTAACACCAGTATAGTTCTAGCCGATTCCGACTCTAAATTTTGGTCTATCTGGTGAATTTTAGTTGAATGACTAATCTATTCAGATTAATAATATATTACAATATATAATCACTCAAAAAGGTAAAAATTATTCTGAAAAAAGATTCGCGAAAGGACATATAAATGGAAATATTATACCAACCTATAAACTCATCTAATTAAATACATTTCACTTTAGCAATTCACTTTTTTTGGTTAGTATCTCATAAATACAGCTTAAAACAATACAATTATAATGATAGTATCTCACAAATTCAACACAATTATAATAATATAAATTTGATCTATACTAATACATACCAATACACTATTCTACATACAACTATACAGTTTAAATTTGCTAATCCTCAACTTTTTTAGAACATGTCGCAACATTATGACCTACCCTTTGTAGTAGCTACAATAATTTTGTCCACACCTTTTCTTTCTATCAAGTGATAATTCATTTGCTAAATATTTACCTTGTTTATTATTGCGGTGACTAGAAAGTTTCAGTCACCCTTTAGTAGTAACTTTTTTGGGTTTTGAAGTCTGACGTTTGGATAAGTATTTTTTTTATTTGACTTCTCATTTTCTGAATTTACTTGCTGATAATTTTGCTGCATATAGGAATTCACCCTAGCCAAATATGTTTTAACCATCTCGACAAACTCATGATCCTGATATAAAAAACATTTGTTAAGTGCAGTACGAACTAATCCCTATACTTTCTTATAAAATAGCTGTTTATTTATAAAGCTAGAATCTCAGGTAAGTTGCTTATTATCATTATTAGGAATGTGCCAAAAATCAGATGATTTTTTAGAGGGAAAGAGGTAAAAAAAGTTAAAATTATATATAAGAACCTGATTTTTTTTTTATATTAAGAGAGGGGGAGGGGGTAAGCCTCTGATAAAAAAAAATTAGATGATAAATAACACTGCCTTTACTAAAAGGTTGAAGCCATTCAAAGTGCAGATTATTATTATTTATTTCTTGATTTGTACCAGAATTTGTAATGCTATCTACAAACTATTATCTATAATAGTCAGGTTCTATTATTACATCATTTTGATGTATTTGAGGAATCTACCATATATTAATGAGCTATATGCTGAATCATGCTGCTTTTGTGATGTTTAGAAGATGAAAGTAATGCCTACAAACTAGACCTTGTTTCTGTTGTAACAGGCATATACAACTATATAATCCATCAGTAAGACAGAAAACTACATAGTTTATATTTTGACTTGTAACCCTAAAGATTTTCCAAACCTCTTCTATTTTGGTACAATCCAAGCATTCAAGAAGGAATTGTGCATATAAAAGTATACTATCTGGTTCATTTTCGAAATTATCACTCTTAGATGAATTATTTATAGGCATGTTTTAGATTTCTTCAATATTGGAACGAAATAAAATATAGTATATGCTCTCCTTCATTTGACCAACTAAAAATCGTATAATATTTAGCCGCAAGTAATGACAGATAACTGATTCGATTTGTGGAAAATTGTTACGGTATTAACTATAGATAGGACACTTCTGATTAAATCATCATATTGCTTCTGTTTTATGCTATCTTCAATACCATCTATTAGAACCCTCCCAAGATCATAAAGAGAAGTATTACTACTTTCAATGATACATTTAAAACAGGGATTTTGGCTCTCTACAAACAACATAGATTCGATACCAAGCGTGAACAATGTAGTTGTAAATCTATGAGCCCATGATTTTCATCTATCATACAATTGATTTTGAAGATACGTGTTTGCAGCTAGGTAATTACTTATTATTTTGTCTCAATAATAATAAAAAATGTCAGATGTATCAGCATTACGACATCTTCAAAAAGAAGAATAAAAATCACCAAATGATGTACCAAGCTTTCTACGAAGCATTTTTTTAATATTTTCCTTTAGGTACCATATACAAAGAATATGTGTTGTAGGGTATTCAGTTATTAACGCACTTCTCATAGCAAGATTACCATCAGTGACAAATACGTTAAGTATTTATCCTCTTGTTGCTTTTTTAGTTATATGTAAGACTCACTCATATGATTCCTTAATTTCATCACTTAATAAAGTCTGAGCAGCAATCCTTGACTTTATATTATCATTCACAACCACAAAAAGTGACAGCGGCATATGATATCGATTCATTTCAGAGGTATTATCATGACCAACTGAATCACTAAACTCATGCCACAAAATAATTTGCTCTAAATTCATCCAGAAAATTCCTGTAAGACTATTAGTTTTCAACTCCCATATTACTTCAACAAACCATCTTGGGTCTTCATGTTGCTTAGCTTGCAACTCCTCATATAATCGTACTGCATCAGCTAGATTAGACCATGCTGATGTTTTATTCTGTTGAATTTCTGTGTAGAAATCCGTTATATAAACTGGCTAAGAGTGTACTTTTTTTTAAAAATTCGTTTAATTATCGTTGCTCCAAAATTACACTCCTTAATATAAAACTCTATGTCTCTTTTCATTTTATTTGTAAATGTTTTCAAATTTTCAAACTGTAGAGCCTTAGAACACATCTTATGATTATGTTTATTCTCCAACATCATTACAAAAACATGAGAATTCAGATTCTGTTTTAGTGGTTTTGAGAGGTTGATATGCTAATTACAACTTTTTCTTATTGTTTTTCAGGCTTTTCAGGGTTTGATTGTTGATAACTACCAAAATAGCGATAGTAAATTGTCTTTTTTCTCATTACTCTTTCATTTTCAGCAGTTTCGATAACAGTACTATATTCTATTACTATCTTAAAACCTATGTATTCAGTATAATTTTGCACATGTTTCTCCGCAAGATCAAAATTATCAAATGATTGACTCTTTTCTAACGTAACAGCCTCGATATTTTCATGTAATATTTCAACATCATCAGGTGCAGCTTGAATATCATCAGGAAAAACTATCCCTTAAACTGTAGGCTTTTCCAGGCAAATTTGCCTGGAAAATTATCATAAATATAGTTATAATCTACTTTTTT